CTGAGGTACTATCACCACAGCAAGAGACTCGCCGCAGAGATCATAATGAGAGATGACAATCCAATTGTTGTGGAATCAGCATTACCCGCCGGAAAATTGCTCGGCTTCCGTGAAGACTCTGTTCTACCGGCGACTGGCGATGGAGCTGACTTCGGAGGAGGAGCATCGCATGTTCCAAAAGGTGCGTTTGACTGTGCATTTATGCAAAACAAAATACATGAGCTCAAAGAGAGCTCTCTTTCTACATTTCAATCTTAAAGTTAGCTTCAAGAAATTAAGAACTCGTACCTTGCAATATGCTAAGCTGTCACAACCACATGTGAGACGACCGTTTGCTTCATCTACAGCTTCTGCGGCACCTCCACCGTCGCTTCTCTGCGATTAAACATCAATGAGCACAAAGAGATCCTCGAAAATTTGACTTATGGGTTCTACAAAATGTTGGATTTGTCAAAAGGAGCACCTGGTAAAAGTCGACTGCGATGAAGTTAGGCCATCTTTTACGGGCTGCATCATGACAGGTTCTCATCATATTGATCAACGGAGAGGAGTTATCCGCACACGCTTGTGTCGAATTCGGATTGGTTGTGAAGTAGTTCTGAAAAAACAAAGACTGAGACTTTGAATCCAATGAAGAAGATTCAGACCGACTCGGGCATGATCCCTCCTTCAAACCATCATTACCATCTAACATAACAACAAAACATAATCTTGTTAAACTAGTCACAAATCAAGATTTCATGTTTTGATTCATCAAGATCATTAAAAAGGGAAACCTCACATTGATTTTCAACCATGTAATTCCACTGGTAAGCAAATCCTTCTGAAGCTTCCTTATCCTTCATCGACGTAAACACCACAAGCCTTTGGTTTTGCTTCACCATATCATCAACCGTTGGCCAATCCGAACCGTCTTTCGGCATCCTTGAAACCGGTAACTGGAATTTACTCAATCCAGATGCATTGAACACCTTTTACAAGAACCCAATCCGTTCTTGACATTTAGATACATATATAAACTACCAAAACAGTCAATCAGACAAAAAAATGTACTAACCTTAGTTAATCCCTGTGGTGCTTTGACATAATCTTCAAGGATAATGGTAACAATCTCAGATAAGTTTGATTCAAGAAAATCATTAATCTCTTTAAGCACATTGATAGCTGGTTGCTGCAAGGTTAATTCGGTTAAACTTAAAATCAAATGTCTCTTTGATTCATATACAAATACAATGTTGATTCAATTGCAAGTTTGCAAAACTTACAAAAGCTGTGAAGTTAAAGCAAGTCCCTCCTGTTGAATGACATAACCATACATCATTCTGAAAATCATATGTATCCAACATTATCCCTCTCACACCATTCTGCAACAACAACAACCCATTTTCACAACAAAATTTTACAATTTGGGGAAAAAGTCAATAAATTTACACGTGGAAATGTATCAAAAGTGGAGGATCTTTATTACAAAAAAAAAAAAGGTTTCATTTTTAAACCCACCAACTAAAGCTTGACATTGTCTTATAATTGAAAAGCCTAAGGCAACAACAAGTCTTGCAAATTAAGTAAGTCGAGATCTCAAATTTAGCAAACAAAAGTTCTACTACGAAACTTGTCAAAGATTTGAGTTATGAGAACAAAGAGAGAGACCTTAAGCTGATTAGTAATGGAGTCTTCTTGGTTTCTTGGAGAGATAAGGAAAGATCCAGTTGCCGAATTTGCCCCCGTGATTGCATAAGAATTGTGTGTTGTTAACCACGAGTACTTGTTAAACGGCAAACCGTTCACCTACCAATCATCAAAACGACATGCATTTTCCAATCCAATCATCAAAACCACATGTAAAAACCAAAAGAACAAGAAGATCAAGAACTTGAAAAATGGAAAACCTTAGAAGTCGGGTTAAGAGGTTGGATCCGGGTACAACTTGACCCGGTAATTCCGTTCGCCGGACAACTCTGGCAACTCAATCCGGCGTCGCATTGGCTACTCGTACTACAAGTTTCACCAATCTGTGTGAATCTCAGAGCAAAACAAAAAAAATCAAGAATTTTGTTTTTGAAGAAGAAAGATTTATAGAGATTTGAGTAAAAGACTAAAACCTCGAGACTTTTAACGAATGATGATAAACAGAGAGCTATGATCATCAGATTCAAGAAGCATTTTGGTAAGAAATTGGATCCCTACATTTTTCAAACAACAAGAAGATAATCAGAAATTAGAATCCGAGTTGGTTTTAGAGGTTTATGATGGCGGGAAAAAAATCGACGAACCTCCATTTTTGTCGATTGGAGAAGAAAGAAGAAACAGAGAGAGACGATGAAGTGAAAATGCGAAAGGTTTTGTTTTTTTTTTTGCAAGTGATATTTGATTAAAACGCTGCGTTTTGCGTTTTATTGACAGAGGTTGTGTTTACTTTGGAATTTTCTTGGTAATTGGGATTCGGTTGGTCGTTTAAAAGTGATGATTTTTTCTAATTAATAGTAGATGGTTGATCATTATTCTTTGTATGTGCATAGAAATGTTCATGTATTACTCGGAATTTAGACCGAGTCAACGTTGACCTTTCTTTATTTGGGGATTAACATCATGTTGGATTATAGTTTTTATTATATTTGTTGCTAAATCAATTAGTAGAAGAATCGGTAAGAAGGTGCTTAAGAATGAGTATACACGTCGAGGTAAAACCGTAAAATAGGATTAAAAATGAAAAAAAAATAACGTATGAATAAAATAAAATAGATTGATATGATATTTTATCTTATTTATTCCATTAAGTTTTGTTTAT